AGTGATGGAGGAAGATGGACTTGCTGTTGGTGGAAGAGGCTGCTGCTCTGGTTAGAACAGATTAGGTACAACATGGGTTTTTCTACCTCTTAGTTGGAGCCAAGACTGAATGGCATGTGCTTGAGAGTGTGGGGCCTCAGTCACTGTATTGCCTTTGAGCTTTCACGTTCAGTGACTGGTTGCTAATGAGGTAAGTGCCTGATGGGAGAGAAAATAATTTGCAACTGCATGCTAAAGGTTTTATCATACTGGAAGCAACATCCTAAATGTGTTCACTGATGATCAGCAGTACAAACTAATATTCACTGTTGCATGAACTGCTTCACCTGGACCAAAAGAAATGAGAGCTAATTTTGTTTTGGTTTTTTTTCATACCCTTAGATCCTAATGTCTGCTATGGTGTTACTTCTCTTAATATTTTAGGACTGGAGAAAAACATGCTGTCATTTAGTACTGAGGATTTTTGTTCTTACTGCAAATTTCATGAACCCTGGCACTTTGGACTACCATCTTGCTGTCTTCAGCATCCTTTCCTAATCTTCTCTTCCTCATACCAATCAATAGATGGAGCAGTCTTTTTGTCTTGTAAATAGCTTTATTTTAGCTGTGTATTTCGACTCTGCGCTTAACTAGGATTAGCTTTAAATAAAAAAGAGCTTTCTTTATGTCTGGATTAATAATTTTTGATCACTTAAACTATTATTTTTATTTTTTTTTCACTTTTATCCACTTTTCCCCTCATGCATAAGTCCCCCAAAACAACTGAGTGCTTTGAAACAAGAAGCACATAAGTTTTTCTTTTGTGTCTCCTAAAAATTACTATTTGGTCATATTAATTTACCTGGACTAAGTGCAATCCATTCATAATCCCACCAGACTACATATGCAAGCAATGACTTGTAGTCCTGGTAATTTATGTTTTTTTTTATTTATCATTCTGAGACTTGTATCCCTGTTTTGCAGTGCCATCCATCTCTGCAGATGAACTGGTTTAGAGCTACCTTTATTAGATGCCCAGCAGATGCCTGTTCTAAAATAAATAAATATTTCCATATATTAAATGTATATTTCCAGAAAAACTGGGACTATTTTCTAGTTTGGTGTTGATCACTTACGATCTTCTTCTTGATCACTGCCACTCTTCCAGGACTCCAAGAGAAATCCCTGATTCATACAATCTGAAACTTGCATACATCTGAATTGTATGGTCATCTTTCTTTCCTTTTCGTGCATTTTTCTCTTGTTTTCCTTTCCTGCTGTTTCCAAACTCACTATACAAATGATGATTTTAACTTTTCTTGCTGCATTTAACTTCTCCTTTCTTTCCCAGATTTAAAATCTAAAGTAAAAATCAAACAAGCCTATTTAATTATTTCCCAGCACTGCAAATGTGATGATGCACAGTGAGTAACAGTGAGGGTCTGGGATAGTAGGTTAATTTGCCAGTTGGATTTATCTTGGGAAGTTATCCATAGAGCAACCATTGCCCTTTAAATTTTAAAGCCTCTGATAAATGTTTAATTAATAGATACTTGAAATGATGTCAGACATGCTTTTGCTGAACTTTTGCTGAGGTGCTGTCCTCAGGGTCAGTAGACTGAAGTATGCAAGTGTTCCTCAAGATGCCACTGCAAAATCCAGCTCTTTGGCTTAAGCTGCTGTGGGAGCTGGTTTTGAAGACCTTTTTCTGGTCTGACTAAAAGATGTTCACCTGTTTCTGTTTCATTCACCACTGCCAGCTGGAGAGGTTATAATGTCTTAAACTGTTACAGCTGTTTAGTGCTTAATGCACTTAATGTCTGTGCCCAAGGTCTTTTGCCAGTAGCCTGCAAAGAATTCATGCAACCTAAGGAGTAATGGGGCTGTCTTCCAATGCAAGGTTGAATTTAAGTTGCATTAAATATCATGGAAATTGTCTTTGATATTTTCTGACTTCTGAATGATGAAGAGGAAATCAGCTCATGTTCTGCCTACACTGTCGATGCAGCCTGCAGAGGGTGCTTAAAAGGAGAGTGTCCATCCTCCTCTCCCCCGAGAGTTTCAGTTGATAGATGTTTGCATCCAGAACCCCCACACCCCTATTTTAGCTTTTCTGGGGGCTGCTCCCTGTCAGCATGCTGCTAGTGGTTTCTTGTCCCCTCCGTCATCTGCTATTTGCATCACTTTGTCTCCCTCTTACTGGAGTAGAACTGGTGTCAGTGTTTGTTTTTTTGCACAGCCTCATGACAGTAACAAGACCCTTAAAATACCATCCTTTGGCTATTCTCAGACCCTTTCAGGCTTGGCCCAGCCCAATCTGTATCTAGCTGTTGAATTGTAATTGGAGCAGACAGACTAATCTCACCAATAAAATCTGTCAAACAGAAGGCATGACTTTGTCTTTCTTCCTCTGTCATTACAGCTGTTATGGAGTGGTCAGGCTCCCCACCTAAGGGCATGTTTTTCATGCCTAACATAAAACTGTTTAGATCATGCAGGCACAGTAATTCAGATGGAGAAAAGGTATTTTGATTGTTTGTTCATTCAGCCAAAAATAAGAGCGAGTGTTTCCTTTTTGGGCTTCCCCCTCCATTCGTGTTGTGTATCAGAGTTCAAATCTGCTGTGAAGTGGAGAAGATGCATGTGATCTTTTACAGAAAATGTAACGTAATTGAATGCCATTGTGCCAGATACAATTATAGTTCCTTGTTTCAGAAATATTTGTAATGTATTTTTTGCTATCACTTTCTGTGATGTACAGGAGCTGTGTTATCTCTTATACCAAAGTTTCAATGAACTGTTGGTGCAGTTGCCCTCTGAATTGATGGCACTGTGAACCTTGAAGATGTAGGAGAAAGTTGAAGGTAAGAGGGAAGAGGGATAGAAGCAAGGATTTCTTCCACTCAGATGGTACCATTCAGAGTAAAACTAACCTTACAGGAGCATTCAACTTCAAGGAAGTGTGATCACAAAAAAGCATTTTATACCTTCTAGGCAATTTCCTCTCACTGCTGCTTTTCAGTGTTTCAGTTTGCCACTCCAAGGGAAAAGAGTTCAAAATGTGTATCTGACAAAAATTCAGTGTGCTGAACAACACTTCTGAATGCAGACATATGCACAATTGCTATTTACACAGCTCAATGGATGTGCATTTTGGTAAGTTTACAATATTAGCAGTAACTCCAGGCACCCTGTCTTAACAGTATTTAGGCTGAGCTGCTTAGATAAAATGTTCAGGAGGTTCACTCACTACCTATGTGGGGAATTTCTAGTTCTTGTTGTGATATGTGAATTAACATAGAGTTGGGATAGTAAGCTACTAAGTAACTGTACCACTATTATAGATTATTATTATGGATTATTATTTATCCTTTCCAATTCTGATGGGTTTTGCTGAATATATATAGCTTATGGAAGACTTATCCTTCCTTTTGTTTAAATTACTAGTGAATCTGTTGCATTGGATTAGAAACTCCCATACTGCCAGATTGTGCTATAGTAATTGGTATGTTTACTTCATCTCAGCAAATGTCCATGCATCCTTTCCGACCAGGCTGATTGGGAAAAGGGTGTGCTTTGTGTATTTTTGTTCATTGGGTCTAACTGCCTGCATGACTGCACTGTAGTGTCCCTGCACACTTTCCTTCAGAGATGGGGAATAGGAAACTTAATCATCCAAATTCTGTCCTTCCTCCTCACACTAAAAGAGCTGTTGAACAGTTAGCATTTTAGCTTGAGTTTGATACAGTTACTTGTTTGCCACTTTGATGCTTAACTTTGCTTAGATTAACTTGAACTAACTTATTTTCATTGCTAGTGTTTGCACTGTCTTTTACCCAGTAGAAGAATAATTTTGGTATTACCTGAGACAGTTGCTATTGGAGCTGTTAAATTATTTCACAATTGTTGAAAATTCTGCAATTTGCTAGAAACCACCCCATTTTTGTTAAAATGCATTTTTAAAGGCTCCTGAAAAGTGTTGGTGAGGTACAAGAATGCAGCAGCTGCTGTGATCATTTTGCTTCATCCTGACTCTTAAATCCACCCTCCCCTTTGGAGGCTTTCAGGTCCCTGCTTTCATTAGGTAGGTGCCAGAGTGATGCCACACCAGTGGGTTGATTGATGGCAGTGTACTTGTGGGAGAGGAGAGTCTTGCAGTGCCCATGTGTTGGCTTAGATGGAGGAGGGGCAAGAGAGGAGCTGAGGCCACTGTCAAGGCTGGACTTGGTGTGGCAGAGTGGCTGAGGCCCGAGTTTTGTATGTGCAGCGGGGAGCTGCTTAACAATTTTGGTGAGAAAATGTATAAAATGGCCAGCAGAATGTTTTTTTGCATAAGTGAAAATGCAATAAATGGTGGTATCTGTGGATGATGAATTCTCATTGAGATTCTACAGGTCAGAGGTCCTTCAAAATGTATGGACTGCTGATTTGACTCGGGGAACAAGGCATCTGATGTGTTGGTGATGCAAAGAGAGAAATGTGTGGGTGTAGGAGGTTTAAGAAAAGCTCTCTAAAATACTCTATGCCTTAGACTTTGTGCCTCACTGCAGGAACTGAAAATCTGAGTTCTTCTGATGCAGCATGTATGTCATCTTTGTAAGCAAACTTTTTACACAAGGGAGATCTTCCACGGTGTTACAAAAAAAAAAAAACAGTCCAAAGCAGTCAAAAATGCTTTCAAAACAATTTTGTGGCTTGCTGCAGTTATTATCTACTTCCTTTTCCTTCTGCTTTATCTTCTTCGTCCTCTTGCCCCGTACTGTGAGAATAGCATGACTTGCCCTGCTGGCCATGAGTTAGTAACACGTCCTGGCTGTGAGCAAAGGATTGCTTAAGAGCTGTCACCTCCTGTGAGGCTGGGGCTTGGCCTGATGCTGGCCTGGAGCAAGAAATCAAGCCACTGTCCCCTATTGATTTCCTTGTCTGGCTCCAGGAAGATGGGTTTGTGTGCTATCACTGGGCTGCTTTTGGGTTAGTTGAAGGATAGCTCTATAGACTAAGTGGGTATTTTTGCATTTCAGGAAGAAGAAATGCCAGAGGTAGAAATTGACATTGATGACCTTCTTGATGCAGCCAATGAAGAGGAAAGAGCTCTCAAATTACAGGTAATATTATTTTATAATTTTAAATAGGAAGGTGGCTAAAGTAATGCATCTGGATCAATATCTTGTGTTTGATTGAATCCACTGTGAATGTAGAATTAGAATGGAGAGATTCCTAGGTCTAATCTAGCATAGTCTACTAGACTGTTCAAAGGTAATCAAAATCCTTTTAGATAAAAAATTTTTGGAAGGTAGCTGATAACACTAGTAAATAAAAGTTCAAGGAACCTGATAATAGAGGGAAATACGCTAAGGCAAATTAGCCTCATTCTAATTTGTACAAGTATATAAAAGGAAGAACAGAAAACATAGGAAAATGAAGAACAGCACATGGAAGAAGCTACATGGCTGAGAGTCAATTATGATGACCAGATAGTTTACGTGATTCAATCAACAATAGAAATATCTATACAGACCAGAATTCTTCCCTTGTGCTTAGGCTACTGGCAGTTATTTCTCTCTATTCTCTCTATACTAGATAGAAATTGGAACCCATCAAAAAGTTCAAAGAAAGCGTAAGATAGTCAGGAACAGGGTTAGAATTAGCAGGGAAGTTCAAAAGCTATCTGCTGAAATTACACCGTTTAAACCAGCTCTCTGAGTCTTTGAAGCTTGTATGAGGTAGGAGTTACTGAATGGAAGAATGAGAGGGAGAAGAACACATCATTGCTTTAATGTAAATCTCTCTCTAAATCAATATATAAAACCAATAGGAAATGTCTCCATTTATAATCTTTTCAGATGCATTAAGAAAAGGAAAACTGTTCCAGAGTCATGGCTTGCCCTCAGCTTGCTTCTGGGAGGTGACTAATGTGGTACTTTGATGCAGCACATCTCATTTTAGTGCCTGTTTAGCACTCTTCCCGGTGCCCACTGGCCAGCCACAGAGATGTGGGGCACGGCCCCAGGCTGTTTGCTCAGCATTCATAAATAGCTTTGCTGCTTCTGCCTAAACTAGCTGCAGCGGCCCCCTGCTAGGAATGCCCTGCTAGGAATAACTAACATCTCTATTTCTGCATTGCAAAGACTCTCATGTCCTCACAGAAAGCTGCCTTTCACATGTCTGTTGCTGGGAGAAGTGTTCTTGGACTCTCCTCCTCTTCTCAGTTTTTCCAGGAGACAGGGATTCTGTAACTCCCTACCTGGAGAAAGAAGCCGTTATTTCTCTCCTGGTACAAATCACTCTGATCAACCTGGGGAGCAAAGGTGACTTGTATAACTCTGGGTTTTCAGTAACATCTTCATTCAGTGATTGCTATTATTGCTCCTTTTCTTTCTCCCCTCCCTTTCCAGGTTTCATACCATGACTTGTTTATGTTCACAATTACTCTGTATGGATACTGACACTTTCATATTTTGCTTCTAGGAAACTCTTGTAGATTGCTACAAACCAACAGAGGTAAAAGACTTTTTAAATGCTATTAACCTGTGGAAATGGTAGTTATGTTCAAGCTAAAGTAACTTTTTTTTATTCTTATGATAAAGTAACTAGGTGAATATTAATGGCTAGCTAATGGACTTGGAGCTTTGTATCCTGAAAATGTTTGTGGCTGTCACTTAGCTACAGTAAGAATGTGATTGTATCCTGTGGAGAAACTGCTGGTCGTTCCAGCTTAACTGTCAATATTGTTTGCTGTAATGTCCTTACTGACTATACTCACTTCTAAAGCTGCCATGTTTATAAGAAAACTAAATATAATTCTCATCAGATGGCTAAAATATTTGCATGTTGGACCGTGCTCTTCACTGTGAAATAACTTAATTGTATCTAGGACAGTAGAATTTATTCTGAGAACTGCTATGCAGATATGCAGCTCAGCCAATTGTTGTGTGAATGGACTTGAACAAAATTGTGGGATAACCTGTATTGACAGGATTTAGTTACTCAACTTCCAACTTGTGTAACTATTAATGTGTCCAGTGCCAACATAGCCTGCTTTTCATACAGTAATGTGTGCTTACTAGGAAGAGTAGATATTGTAAAAAAACCCCTTGGAGTCATTGTAGAAATCAAAAGTCTGGGTCATGGGTCAGTTTGTTAGTTCCATATATAGAGTCAGTTCTTTCCCAGAAGTGGCTGCTGCACAGTATTTAATAGAGGGGTTGGCTTACAGGATTCCTCTTGACAGAAACCTTTCATCTGTGCATGACTAGAAGCCAGCTGTTTGGCTTTGAAACAGGGCTGCAAATAGGTTGATTCTTCTGTAATATCTGCAGCTGTAGCCACATAAACTGGTGGGGCTTAAGGATAGTCAGACTATAAGGAAGAAATGCTGATGCAGTGAAATAGGCACTTCACAGTCCATGATATTTTCTTCAAGGCTTTTCCACTGTTATTGATTCCTATGGTAGATTGGGAAGATTCTCCAGAATTGCTATTATAGTTGCTGGTACAAACATTTTGACAGCGTAGGGAATTGACCCAGAAGGACTCATCTGATAACACCTGTAGAGTTGTTGTGTGTTTTATATTGGTTACCCTAGAGCAGGTAACACATATTTCCCATTGTGGAGTTGCTATAATGCCAGGTCTTCACTGTCTTACTATAGTAATGCTACACCACAGATGACCTGTCAACCTTCTCCAGCCCTCTCTAAGCAAGCACCACAGAACCTTGGTTCTTCTTAAGATAGGTGTGAAGATGGATACAGCATGTGGAGCCTGATGTGGCTCTTGTCACAGGCTAGTAAGAGAAAGCTGGAGTCATGATTAGGTGGGAGGAACAGGTTGCCAAGAGCTTAACAGTCATGCATGTGCTGACCTCTTATCTCTGTGTTGTCTGAAGGCAGAGATCAAATAATTACTCTTCTTCCTTCTTCATTAAACATGTAATAAATTATTTTTATTAGCTGTGAAGTTTGATATAATGCAAGGACAAATTTCAGAGAGCTGATAAGGGTACATGACAGATGTCAATGAGTGTTCCACTGGAAACTTTGGTTGTAGAACTACAGGAAATATTTGTGCCATACTGGTAAATTAAGTTGGTGTGGCAGTTTGCAGAAAACAAAATCCTGGACATATGTCCTTGTCTGCCCTTAAGGCACCTGGATCAAGGTGAGATTTTAATACTGAACTGGTGAACTGTATCTTCAATCTTTTATGGATGGGATGGAAGCAGTTCCCTTATCTGTGAGAATTTTCATCTTCCTAGACAATCTCTAGAGATAGCTAAGTTGAAGGGGTACTTAATCCAATCATTCTCTATAACTAGCTGAAAGGAGGTTGTAGACAGGTGGTGTTGTCCTCTTCTCCCAGGAACATAGTGATAGGTATGTCAGGGAAGTTTAGGTTAGACATTAGGAAGAGTTACTTCACAAAAGGGTTGGTAGATATTGGAATGGGCTGCCCAAGAGATCGTGGGCTCACCACTGTGGAGGTGTTCAAGGAAAGGTACTTCATGCTGTGGTCTAGCTGACAAGGTGGCGTTTGGTCATGGTTTGAACTCAATCTCAGAGGCCTTTTCCAATTTAATTGGTTCTGTGAGGATAGTTTTCAAAAATGAGTCACATCCCAGGACTATTTTACAACAGCAGCTTTTCTTTTTGGCATGATGAGCCCAGTAATACTTCATGACTGCTAGCTTAGGCAACTTAAAAATAGTGATTTTTATCCTGCCATGTGTGGACTTAGAAGAGGCTTTTAGTTGGCTTAAACTTGCTATATAAGGATCGACACCTTGTCTAGAAAATCTGCAATATTTTTATATTTGCAGACCATTCAAAACTATTGAGGGAGTTGGCTTGTGAAAGGATTTTTAGAAGGTTTGTGGAGAATGGAATTTCTCCTGACCAATGAAATGCAGTATGTCGAGTGCACTGGGGTTTTCATCATCAAGTGTTAAACAGTTTGCAAAAGGTAGTAATCCCTGACTGGGGGAAAAGTTATGATGTCCCTGCTATTCAGAAAGAAAAATAGTACAGGCAGAAAGCTTAATAACTCAAAGCTCTTATCCAGCTATGAAAAAAAAATAAAAACCCTCTAAACCTGAAAATGTGTATCTTAAATTTTTCTCAATATCTTCTATTTAGACTAAAAGTTAAGGAAAGACTGAGGAATGTTTGTATGTATCCTGGATTGACTTTTCATCAGAATAAGCTGAGCTATCCAGTTCACTTAAAAGCAGTAACTTATGAAGAACTGTTACAAAACCTTTCTTCTAATGGAAATACAGCTAGACAGTTGGATGTGCTTTAAAATATTAAAAGCTTTTCTTAGGTAGCATTTATGGCTGTTTTAATTTGTATGGAAATATGCTTAATGTGGATCTTTATGTAAAGACTCATTATGTACACAAACTTAAAGATTTAGTATCTGCTGAATCAGTGCCATAATCAAATTATGGATCTGAACTTTCATAATTGAAGAGGAGCAGGGAGCAGTATCCTCTTCCTGCATCATCTGTGTGCCAGAGCAATCAGTTCTTCATACAGTCCCACACCACTTGTGGAAAAGTCCTTTGTTCAGTTGCTGTTGCAGTTCTGTTTCATCTTCTCTGTCATCATCTGATGGTGGAGAATCTTAATGTTAGCAATGAATATAACAAATTTAAATACAATCTGCTATCTTGATGATGATGTTTAGATACTTCACAATAGACTCTTATTTAGGATAGAAAGATAGTTCTGATTGTGAAATCAATGAGGTTTTTTTAAGGCATGTATTTTGAAGAAGGCTGACTAAATCTGTATTGCTGTTACCTCTGCTGTTGGTAACAGCAAGGCCACTCATTTAGACTGGGCATTGGAGAAAATCTGAAATATTTGTGGCTGATGTGAATTAGAGCTTCCACTAGTGGGACTGCCAACATTATGACAAGAGAAATGACAAGGAAATTCTTAAACTACTTTGGGAGAGAAATCCAATGAGTGGGCGATTTTTATGCTTACTGACTCCAAAAGATGCAGCTGAGCAACACAAGGACTCTGGATAACGAGTGTTTGAAGAGAACTGGATAAATTAAATTTGCAGTTTATTTACTTCTTTTTTTTAATATATAAATATACAAAACTTCAGATGAATGGGCTGGAGATCTCTCCTATTCAGGCAGGATTAAATCTATTTTGTTAGTACAATTCTTCACTTAGTGCAAAATGGAAGAAAAAGGAGATGAAGTTGCATCATTAAAGAAAGCTACATTCTGGAAACTTATAATAATAATTGTCAATGTGGTTTGCAAACAAACTATGTTGAATTGTGCATATTTTCTGGAGAACTTGGGCAGAGATTTAAGTTACTGACTACTCAATTACTTCAGCACTTGGACAATTGCAGCAGCTTTTAACACTTTTTAAAAAAGGTAGAGATGCATTTGCTTAACTGTATGTATCTCTAAATTTAATTCCTAGTTGGAGTAAATTAAAGGCTTGTGATGCAACTTTTTAGAGTGGTTTAAATGCTGTGATTTTTAAAGGTAACAGCTGTTTTGTGTATGTATTGACATAATGTATGTTTTTACTATGCAGGTATGAATAGAAAGCTCTATGCTTCTGAAACAGGACCCCATAACTTTTAAAGGACCATATGTTTATTTTGGTCCTAATATGTTATGAATTATTTCAAATTAGTGTTACTATTTGTTTTTTCTATGTAATTGCAAGGCAGCAATATGTAGGATACCCACAAGAAGCAATTGTTGTCACTGCAGATGTGTCCTAAAGCCTCAGTGCTGCGTGCTTACATCTGGACAAGCCAGGGCAGCTGATGGATGGTAAATTATTAAGTCACAGCAAATATATTTTGTGTCCATATTACGTGAAATGAAATAGGAGAATCTGTAGAGAAAAAAAGATTAGAAAACATGCTTGTTTAAAAGCAATACAGGCAGATGCATTTCCAGAAAAACATGATTTCTTGTTCATCCATTTGACTACTGAATTCAGTGAACTAAAACTTTTTACATGCCTGCTGAGATCTGCCCTATATTGTACTACAGCGTTGGAGGGAATTAAGTTTGCGTGTTTTCATTTCTGCAAGTACTCATGAATACAACTTATAAATACCCATAGCAATATCAGAATGGAAGAGCAAGTGGTGATTTGACAAAAATAAGCTGTGCTTGTTTAAATGCTGCTGAATTGGAGAATAATTAGACTGCAAGTCTTTGCCGTAACTAAGCTTTGTGGTATGTAGTAGTGCCTTATACAGAGCTCACCAAGAAGTGAAATTGCTGCAAAAATTTCCTGCTCTGGACACTGATGGCGCTGTGTCCTCACTGCAAAGAACATATTGAGGGCATAGTTCAGTGGGGCTACAGAGATGCTGCACTGGTTCTTGCTAATAGAAGGCATCTTCTGGCCCTGTTCTCCCAAAGCAGTTCCCTTCTTTTTGTATAATTGGCTTTGTGGGGGCTTGAGCCTGTGTGGAAGAGAAGGTGTTTGGCAGTAAGATAGGTTTTTATTTAAATTGTTTCCCAAGTACCTGTGGGATTGCTCTTCAGGCTGACTTCAGTTTTTACATCCAACTATTGAAGCCATCTCCAGGAAATAGCCTTGGGCAAACAGTTAAGGCAATCTTGGTTTTTGACCTGGCTACAGGGAAGTAAAGCTGTGAAGGAAAGCTGACTTAGGACTCATTTCATGCTCTAGTGAAGCAGGAGGACTAGAAACTCTAAATTTTAGTTTAAAAACTAGTCCTACTACATTGTGTACTGTTTGAGGAAGAGAAATCTGGAGAGGCAGAGTCTAATTAGTCTCCAGAATTAATTGGAAGACTTGAATAGGAAGCCTGGAATTCATTGTCTGTCGAATGACCTCATTAAAACAATGAGTCACACCACCAAAGCAGAGAGGTGATTTTCTCCCCTTTCCTGAATAATCATTTCACCTTTGTTTTTTGCCTTTATTATTTTTTTGCCTAAGGCTGAATATAGATGAGTACAAATGAACTGTAGATTCGGTCTCTCATTCAAATTTGCCTTTAGAATGAGAAAGATGTCTTCTAGAAACAATGATTTAGAATTACAAATTAACAAGATTCTCAGTATTTGTAACAAAGGTGCCTCCTTGCAGAAATTCTGTAAAAAATAATTTTAACTAAGTTTGCATACATTTTTTCACTTTTTAAGAAATTTATTATTTACTTTGTTTACTAAGGCACAAAGTGTTGGTATGAAATTTTTGTTATATTAGAAGTGCATGTAGCCTGTGTATTCCTGGTTATAGCCCTTCAAGGAATAATAAATAAGTTCTTGAATCCTTAGCTGCATTATTCTTGGTTTTTAATTCCATGAATTAAATCAGTATATATAGGCAGATAATTCAACCTGTATTACAGAAGTGCTTTTAACATAGATTAGTACATGATCAGCTTTCAATTGTCTGATGCTAAATTTCAGCATATCTTGTTAGAGGGGATTTCAGTAAAATGCTCTATATCAAATGATTTTTGTGTACAAAGTGGAGACAGATGTGAATATTAAGTCTTGACTCAAATGGCCACAAGGAACAACACTACAATTTTTGAGTGATGGCTTAAGAAAACAGATTTTGCTGACATAAACCTGAGTTGGTTAGTTATAAAGTGAAGGTTTACTGAAATGCTATGAAGTCTCCTTTCCTGCTTGCACGAGGGAAAATGTGCATCTTTTCTAGAACTTTTTCTTTTCCTTCATGGGGAACTGCTAAGCAAGAAAGGCACAAGCACTGGAGCACAACTGTGTTAATGATAACCAGCTCCATGCAAGTGTCAGATGCAAAGTGATATTTAAACCAGAAATGTGCTGAACCAATGTTGCAGTTTCGGTGTCCATGAGAAGTGCACAACAGTGCTACTGCACTGTGCACAATGTCTGCCACATGCAAAATGCTCCTGTTGGGTTTTACTCTTAAAGGTACTGTAGACCTCTATTTCAAGGGCAAAAAATAATTCCTGAGGCATAAAGCATTTTAAATTATTATATGTACTTCTTCAAATGAATGCTTTCTCTGCCTTAAGAATAGTTGCAGTTACCTCAGATCTCCTTTAAGGGGTTAACCCTATGGTTTGGTTTATTTCAGCAGCATTAAGAAGTTTCCAGTTGGTGGTAAAATTGCTTGAAAACTTCAAGCAAATATCTTGTTTTCCAAAAGAAGGCACTTGTCATAACGCTGTTCAAAGTATAAGGGGAAGAATTTCTCTCTCTTGCTATAATGTCATATTAAAAAGCAGCTGACCCCGGGCTACATTTCATATCCAAGCAAAACTTGCTCCAGACTCTGCTGTGTTGTGGGGGAATGGGCAGAGGAATGGTAGGGTGAGATATCCCAAATGACTGCAGAGTGCCATAGATGTCCCTTCCCATAAGGCTCTTACTCCTGTGAAGCTGCTGGAGAGTTTCCAGATGTAGTGTTTTCTTGTAGAGTATTTGTGGCTTGAACAAACAATTTAAAAAGTTTTTCTAAGGGTAGAACTGCACTTCAGCCCATTCTTCTCCAAAGCTGATGGAACTATAGGTTTTGTTTTTGTTTTTTTAAATAGAAAGACTTACTGAGAGGCAATGTAAATTACATTAATCCCAAGTAAAAATCTTCTAAGATAACTTTACTTTAATGATTGTACTGCAAGGCTTTTTATAAGTTTGATAGTAAAAAATTCTGAAGTGTGTTTATGTGTTTCAAGCAGCACCATACCATATAGTTTTGCATTATCTAACAGGTCCTTAGTGATGATATGATACAGAACTAATGCAATGTTTGTTGAAAGCTGTGAATTTTTAGAGTAAGCATGTCTTCCTCCTTCTTCTGATTTTTTTAGTGGAGGAGTACTGGACTGTGACAAGTTTAGAGCTGGTATTGTTGCAGTGACTTGTGCCTTTGTGAAATAAGTCTGCTTCAAGAGGATGGGGGATTTGGGGGTCTTAAACCTGTTTTTCTGATCATTTTATTAGGCTGTCTGTCCAGATGGCAAGCATGATACTGATATGCATAGATGTATCCCTGAAGTGGCTTTCACTTAGTTCAGAGTGGAGACCCCACTGTTGTGTAGCTGCTCTGCCTTTGCTGCTGTTCATTGCAGCCACAGGTAGTGTGGATGCAACAATAAGTGTGATGAAGCAGTACATGCAGTTCACTATGGCTGTGCAGAATCTGTCAGGGAAGGAAATTGGTTTGTTGGGACTATAGTTCCACCAGAAAAAAACGGATATATTTCTCAAGTTGAAATACACATTTACACAGATCTTCCTTGTGTGAAGTGTAGCACCTTATAATACATGTTTCAATGTGACCTTCTTTGAAAGGTATTGTGTTGTTGTTTAAGTGGAGACTTTATTCACTGGAATTTTTAACTTCAGGCATTCATCCAGGAAATCATGCTTTTAGTTGTTTTATAGAATCATAGATAGGTTTGGGTTGGAAGGGACCTTAAAGATCATCTGATTTGACTGCCAAGGCCTGGGATACCATCCACTAGGCTCAAAGCCCTGTCCAGCCTGGCTTTTCACATCCACCTAACAGAATAATTATAGTCTATGTTTACAGCTAGCTGATTTCATAAGAATCTTTTTGTAAGTGTATACATAGTACTGTGGATAAACATAATTTTCCCAATGTGATATTAAGGAGGTCATTCAGCTTTTAATGCACCTGCAATAAATTGTATACCAAAAGAATTTCAGAGAATGTTGCATATCTGTAAGCTTCTGTTCTTACACAGTTTAAAAAGAAGAAATCTGCTGAAACTGGGTAAAATATCACCATGAATAAAGGCCTGGTCCATTAATTGGTTTGTTGTGTTCTAGGCTGGGTTTTTTTGTGGTGGTTTGGTTTTTTCATGTTTTTTTTTTGGGGGGGGGGGGGTGGTTGATTTTTGTTTGTTCATTTGTTTTCAAAGTAGTGTTATTCACTTAGCTCTGCAACCAGTTTCACCCATCAGAAATCAGTAGCACTACATCTGGCTCCTTTTTCCTGCCTTGCCTTGGACTGACACAAGTGTTAGTGTGGGCTGAGTGGTGGGCCTGGTCAGAGGGCTGAGCCAGCTTAGAAAGTAGCAGGGCAAGAGGAAAAACAGCTGAGATTTTTAGCCAGATCAGCTTTCTTGTACAGCTCAGCATACAGCCAGCCAAAATACTAGTTCCAGCATGGAGAGTGGAAAGAGAAGAACCTCTTTTGGCAAGAGTGCTGATTTCTGTGCAGTCTTAAGCTGTGGAAGTCTGCTTTGACTGTTTGCATTGTATGCAGCCATAGGTTTTGCTTTATTCAATAGTTGGTATAAGGTCCTGTGCAGTAAAAGCCTGAAAAATGGGTTATAACTGAGCTGGGACAATCACTAGGAAAAGCTCATTGTTCACACTTTTGCTGGATGGGGAAGGATGTGTCTAAGGTTCCCAGCTATCAGGCCAGAGAAATTCCAGCTTAGTAGTAAAAGCTTAAATAAAAATATATTGTTGATTTTTTTTTTTTTTTAAAAAAACAACTTGATTATGGTATTATGGGATCGTTAAAATGACTCATATTTTCTTTTTTTTTTCCCTAGGAATTTATCAAAGAGCTGCTAACTCGGATAAGAGGAATGAGGAAACTCAGTCCCCCTCAAAAGAAGAGTATATAAATAACTCAAAGTAATAGCACTCTGTAAAAGACATGGCAAGGGAAATGGGACTTTGAATACAAGACCTTTATTAAAATAATTGTCTTTCTCCACAACATTTTTGATTTTATTCAGTTTTGACTCAAGAATTGTTTTGTGTGTTTTAAGGGTTCTTTTTTTAAGTGTCAATTATTTTTTATCAAAAATATCAACAATTTGGATGCTGCTCAACTTTCACCTGAGGATTACTGAAGCAAGTGAAGAATCCAAGAGTTAGTGATGAGGGGCAGCAAGCCTATGTGGTGAAACAGAAGATCTTGTAAATTTACAGAGCTAGGAGACCTCTCCTTGCAACTAGTTGGATAACGTTTCTTAAGTTGGTTGTACATTTAACTCATGGATGTCAAGTTTCTTGTGCTTGTCTGTACATAAATTTTAAAGTGGGTTGTGAATACTGTTTCACATGGATGGAAGGAGAAGTTTGTTATAGTAAATTATTTAAATGGTGGTTATTGCAAATTTGCTACCAGAAGGTACCAATTTAGATTACTAAAATGAATGCTGCCATTTTTCTAAATACCCTTAAAGCAGCCCAGTGAGGAATCTCATCATATCTCCTTGTTTAGACTGCAGCATATGAAAATTGGGAATTTTAAGGGCTTAATTTGTAGACTTAAAAGTTATTTGATCGACTTTGATGCTTTGCCAGATCACTTCCTCTCCAACTCATGATGTCTTGGGAGCTGTGCTAACCTATACTGAATATGGGCCTGGAGTGATATCTAGAGAAATGTCCATCACCATTTAAAAGTTGGTTCATGCTGGAGGAAAGGCAGTGATACCAAAATAAATTGCAAGTACTGTATTGCATTTAATGATGTGGTCTTAATCAAATGCAGATTCCTCTCCTATAAAGGTAGGCAAAGAGTAATACAGCCTTTGTTTATGGCTCTGCCCTGAGAAGTAGGGAGACTTCTTAACCTAGGCTCTCTTACTTGTAAGAGCAAGAACAGAGATGCCTGCTCCCTTCTGGAAAATGTCCTAACTAGAATGTTTGAGAAGCTACCATTTACTGGTAGGTGACATTAGTCAGGCATTTTATATCAAGGGTGCTCTGAACATATTTTATTTTTCAAAAGAAGTACATGTTTGTGAATTTTATGTATACTGGCAAGCTTTTTTAATGTATTTAATTTTGTAATGTTTACTGATGATTTTATTTACCAGATATTTACTCAAATAAATGGAACAACTTGTGACTTGTTACATGTACACTTTACAAGACTACTGTTGCTGAGTAGGTTTGTAAATGGAATTGCTGGTCAAAAAGAGAAGCCTGTGAGGTGGTAAGTACATGGGAACCCATGTGTATTGACCCTAACTGGCTTTTAACATACTCAGCATCACTCAGCCCTTGCCCAGTATCACTCACACTCCTGTAACCTGGTGCACAGCTTCATTTTTGAAGGGTGGGGGAAAAAAAGCTTGGCAATTCTTTCAGATAAACACTGGAAAATTCAGATAATGTTTTTTGTCCACCAGGGAGGGACTGTAGGGGAAGGCTTACACTGGGTGTCTCTCAGTTTCCCAGTGAAGGTGTGGCAGAAGGGGATCTTTCAGTAGATACTCTTCCTTTCTTCTTTTAGGCACCTTTTTTGGATCATCAAGAAATTCCAGCACCCCTGAGAAAAGAATCACCTGCAGCATTTTAAATTTAAGTCTTGTATCTTGCTAAAGTTGCAATTTAGATCTGGTTTTGACTTGCTGTCAATTCTCATGTTCAGAGTTTCGAGCTGGAGTCTGAAATAACCCACCTTATTTTTCAGTTTGAACAATAAGGATTCTAGTAATTTTCACATTCACAGATGCATTTTGTGACTTCACTGGCAATTTCAAATATCACTTTTTTTCCTTTATAATGGTGTACCAAATCAGATGTCAATTAATGGCAACTGTACCAATTCTCTCATTACCATTTAGAGAAAAAAAATTATAACCACCAATATTTTTTCTTTGTTGTTTGACTAAAAGCTCCCCACTCAACTGTACACATGACATGTTTGTGTCTTTTATCCTATTCATCTTGCACTGAAGTAGCTGTGGAAGGTAGCAGTGTACACCTTCTAAAACTAGTAGGCTTGGTGGTGCACTTTAGAAATGGTGAAGACTGGGATGGTCCTTGTGTTTTCTTGCCTTATGGAATGGAATAAGTCACTTTTGAGAAGGGTTTCTTCTCCAGCTTCACAGGTTTTGCTGTCTTAAAAGCATCAGTGAGCAAAGCTAAGCTCTAAATAGCTTTTTTTTTTTGCAGCTGGCCTAATTTTCCTGAGGATTTACAGGGTCTCAGTCTTTCTAATTTTTACTTAATGGAGCTACTCTTGGCCTTGGTGTTAGTGAGGGGAGAATTGACCCATTCACTAAAGATTTAATTGTGCTTTATGCCTTTATACTGTGTGGGTGTTCTTGGCTCTGTGGCAATATTCAAGGGGGATATAAATAGCACACTGTTACTGAAACAACTTGAAATTAAATCTTGCAGCCCAGTCTCTTCACTTTCTTGGCTGGACAGCTTTCATGAGAAGGGCCAAGTTGCTGCAATGAGAGCTTCCTCTGGGCTTTTTTAAGTGGTTAATGAAAGAAACTGAAGTTCCTTCTAAAATACATAGTGAAGCTGAGGTTTTTGTTTTGGAATTGAAGTGCCTCTCCAGTATAAAAAAATTGCCTGCAAGACCATGTGTTTCTGGAGTCTGCTTCATGACATAATTAGCTTTTGCATGTTTTACAGCAGGACCTTACAGTTGGTTTAGAAGGAAAAGCAAAGTGCTTGTATAATTATAATTATTGTGCCTCATGAGGCTGCAGTGACAGGGTGGTGTACTCCTGTGGCACAGAAGAAATGAGAAGACATTGAAGACATGAGCCATTTGTCTGCCAGCCTCATTTTTAATATAATAATCTCATCCTTCCACCCAAGGATGGAGATTAGTTACAAAGTTGCCATTCATGCAGGGAACATAAGGGTGGAATGTGGGAGTTTCTCTGTTCTCAGAGAATATGACCAAGAAAAGCAGGAGCAAAATATCTGCTCCATTTGTGCACTTGAAACTCTTTGACAGTCTTAGTAAGAATTCTTAGTACTTTATGCTGATAGGTATAATAGTGTATGTGAAATTGAAATTACTCAGCAATTTTTTCAAATTCAGGACAGTCTTAATATAAACATGCAGCTCCAGGGTAAAAAAATTGTCAGCCACACCATGGGTCTTATTCTGAACAAACAGCTGAACTTAAAACTCTGGTGAAGTGTTGTAGCAAAAGGAAAAATTGCATCTTGGCTGCATAAGATTTGTCATTGCCATCCTCATGACTAGATTGTGTACAGGTACTGAGTAACTAACTGTGTGCAATACTTTTTAGAAGGTGCTGAGATTTAGGGAGTGATGCCTAGAGAGGCTCAGCTAGAACAGAGGCTAGACAGAGTTGAAGGAATAAAGTAGGTATTTATTAAAAGACCTGTAAAGGGTACACTTTGGGCGCTACAAGAGCCCAGCCATGGCTCAACCCAGGATGCAATATGGACAATTGGTCATGAGTTTTCAGACTTTTATAAGTTTCTGTCCATTTACACATTTGGGTTAATTGTCCACTTACAGCTTCAAGGTTATGAAGTCCTATCCTCCCAGATTGTTCTTCTCAATTTGCTGTTTGTACGTTTTGGGCCTGAAGCTTGCAATGGTGTCCTTGGTTCTCAGGCTGGAAAAGGATTGTTTTGTCTACCTACATTGTGAAGAGAACTTGCTAACACTTCATATAAAGTTCAGAGTTACACACTAAGGCAGTACAGAATCTAAAAAAAAATATGAAAATATGTTGGGAAGTCCAGGAAAAAAACATCACAAAGAAAATAACCTGTTAGGAAAACAGAAGTCTTTTGTTACTGGATGTATTTCTGTATGGAAAGAAAATGAGAGATGTCAATGCTTTTATGTATTGGAGAAAAGCATGAAGAGGAGGAATGCCTGGAAGATAAAGGAAGGAAACTTGAACAGTTGAAGAAAATAGAGCATCCTCATGGTGATGAGCCCCTTAAACTTGCTACTGTGGGAATAGGTGAGACTGACATCTATTAGTATCTCCAAATTGAAATTGGATACTTTTCTAGATAAGTTGTCATTGGACATTTCATATTTTCACATATTGAGTTTCAGTCAAGGTAATCAAAGGCCTTAAAACTCTATACTTCTGCTTCATGGGGTTTTGTTTGTTTGTCGTTACTTTTTCTATGATTGTTTTTGGTTTTGTTTTGGGGTGGTTTTTTTTGGTTTGTTTTATTTTTAGGTCAGCTGATTCTAGATTTCTGTTAAAGCAGAGGAAACTAATAGGAAACTGATTTCTATGTATTATGGCAATGTACCTATATGCTCATGTAGTGGTCAAATCAGATTACTAATACTAGCTACAGATTTTATAACTTCACTACTTTTTATTTGACTTTCATGTTACTACTTCTAATTTTTCTGGAAGTAAGCAAATAGTAATTATAAATGTAATTAAAGTTGCTATTGAAAGCTAGAGAGAAGTTGATGTGAAGAAGAGAAAATGTGACCAGAAAGTGCTTAGTGCAGTAAATTTTATTTTTGCCACTGGAGGATTTGGTCATCAGTGTGTAAATAGAGTGTTTCTGAAGTTTTGAGATTGCTATTTAGGGTAATCTAACCTAGTGCTGATGGAGTTCTATTTGTTTTGTGGGCTTTTTGGTGGAACTAATTTCCAAATTCTATGAACTTACACTGTTTACAGACTTCTCTGTTTTCCAACAAAAACTGACATTAGTTGTTTAAAGAAACTGAGCTATTTTTAAAATTATGTTTAAAAATGTATATAAGACTGAAAATTCTTTTGAAGGTGCAGCTAACAGGTTTTGTTTGGTAGTAAACTCAGAGGTCTTACTGAATTGATGTTTTAATTGAACTTTTTACTTTCTAAGATCAAAATAGAAAATATCATATATATGCCTTAGGAGAGGTTTCAGTCTGCCTAACTATATAATACTGGGTCAGACTTGAGGCCCATAACTACTTGGCAAAGAATGGAGGAGCTGATCCTCTTCAAGGACAAAGACTTGTTTTACTACCCTTTCTAGGGGGCAAAGGAGATGAGAGCACAAGAAGCTTTTCTTCCCCCTTAAAGGAGGATCCTAAGTCAGTGTCAGCAAGGCTTCGGCTCTTGCAACAGTTTCATGCCCAGTTTTTGCCACTGACCATCCCCAGTGAACTGCATGTTTTCTGTTGTCTTTGCAGATTTAATTTCAAGCCTGCCAAAGCAATAGTTACTAAGTCAGTTTTGGTGCCCATTATCTCCTGTACCTCATGGTGTGTTTGCCTACAGTCTGCATTATTCTTCCCCATTCCTTCAAGCTTGATTATTTCTCGTAGGGATCTTTTACTACTAAATGGAAATGGAAATGTGCTGTGGTTCTATTTCTGCCACAGTGTTTCTGCTGTCAGTACCAAGTCAATCCAAAAGACTACAAAAGATGCTATAAATTTTAGTGTCTTCTGATTTATGGTCTCATTCCACTGGAGTTTACTCACTTTTTGCATTATTTCTTAATTTCCTTGAGGAAATTTTTGTCAGTGTGTGCACACAACACAGCCACAGACTCTGAGAACAAAGCTCCTAGAAATAATCAGTTTCTTTTATATTAAGAGAAAGAATGCTAAATGTGGTTTTTATCTTTTCCCTCCAAATATTTGGAAGATGCATTTGCAGTGTCACAGAAATGTTCTTATTTGGAAACTTGAGGGTGTAGTGTAAGTAATGAAACAAGGACTAAATGGTGGCAGACACACAAACTCACCAATGGACACATTCCTTGTGTCCTTCAGGAAAAGAAAAAAGGATCCCACATCCATGTCTCCTGGGCTCAGTCCTTGCCAGAGACTAATCTACTTCTATTAGGCTCTGCTGGGCTTTGTGCTGGGTCCAGGCAAGGACCATGTGGAGAGGTGAGTACTGGTCCTTGAAGAACACTGCAGATTTGTGTAATTGCACACCAGCTAAATTAATCCTGAATCCAGTGTTTGGGCTGTTAAGAAGCCAGTGCTTCAGGCAGAGCATTGGTAGGATGTGTTATCACCCTTTTCCATTTAGCAGTGACAATGATGTGTTCCGTCTCTTCTGGTCCTGCCACTAAGGAATACTGCATTTTTTCGGGAATTAAATAGGAAAGAGCATGTTTTCATTTGGGAGTAGTTTGTTACCAA